AACAGTAAGAAGAAAAAAATAGGTAACTCTTCCCTCTATGCCAAAAACCATCTCTTTTCATTCATCAACTAGAAAGGCTCCTTCAAGCAGGCAGTTAGGGGCTCTTCTCAGAAGAGGATACCCCCCAAAAGGGAGATGGAGTGGGTCTCATAGATGCTGGTCAGTGTGTCATGGATACTGCAGGACCATTCCATTTGTTGAGGCACCTAGCCTCCAGAAATGAGCAAGTACCAGGTTGTCATCCTCTGGTTACTAAATTTTAGGGTGAAGATTTCCCAAAAGATGAAGTTATCCTTTTCCTCAGCCTTTGCTTGTAGAGTGTCCCCATAGACTGGTGACATCTGATTCCAGTAAAGCTGTTTGTTCCCCTTTAGGAACAAACTTTTGCAAGGCAGCTTTGAATAGGTGCTGGGCTTTGTCTAATTCTTGGGTGGAACCATTGGCTTCCCTGCCTTCCAGATCCTTCTCTAGGCTTTTAGGATTTTCTGTCCCTCCAGTCCCTAAAGTCAGGGGACTGTCCTCATCCCCTGTGAGAACCAGAAGCAACTGCTGTGAAATTTGCTTTTTAGTTCTTGGGTGGCTGTAAATCATGTTTTAAATCTGCAAGCCCAAGGACAGGTAATTCCGGGATTTTGTACAATATTTAGCATGCTTTAAAGGAGTCTGGCTATCTATCTGGTGTTGAATCTGAAAGCACTTCAACCAAGCTGTTTTTAAAAACGTGTTTATTTTCTTGGTTCCTGGCCATGTTTTGCTAAGAAATGCTGCGGACATGCTCTCCCAGCCATGGCATTCCACATCCCCACAGGAGCTCCCCAGATGGGAGAATTAGAGGCCGTGTGGGCGGAGGTCAGACTTTCACACAAGTCCTGGAGTTTATATCGGTGTGTGCATATCGGGATGCCGCCAAATGATTTTTCATTCCTTAAAGGGGTGGGAAAACGCTTTGTACTTTGGGGTGGTTAACATTGATAGTTTGGCAGACCCTGGAGACAAACCTCAAGGCTGTCCGTGGGGGATTTTTAGATTAGTCAATTAATCTCATTATTTAATTAGGTCTGCTATGGATGCAGTAGCTCTGCTTGGTAGGCGGGGCTCCAGGCTTGAGTGTAACAGAGGACCTGAGTTGAGCAGTAATGTTCCTTGCTCTCTGCTTTCTGGTGATGGATGCAGTGTGACTGCTGCCTCCCTGGCATATTCTCTTAACCCCTTGACACTTTCACCATGATGGACCATGTCCTCTGAAACCCTCAAGCAGACGTCAAGCCTTTCTCCCTTCATTTGCTTCTTGTCAGGAGTTTGTCATAGGCAATCCATACGTCCTTGTAGGGACATCTTCTGTGTTTTTGCGGGAAAAAATATATGTATATATATTCTTTTCTTTATAGGAAGACAAAGGGAAATTGTAGAATAAATCTTGCATAAATTAATGGGTCACAGGACACTTGTCCTCCGGACCAAATTTGAGATCTGATACTTAAGGGTTATTATAAGGAAATGTGGTGGCTTGTAAAGGATTTTCTATTATTTTATTTTTAATTATTTTATATATTTAGTAGTCTACATAATGATATAGAATATTTATATAAATACTTATTATATATTTTATGTGCTTATTTATGTGTATGCATATTTTGCACGTATGAATCTATGGATGTATGTGTACTGCATACATATCCGGTGCCCATGGACGCCAGAAGAGAACGTTGGATCTCTCCACTCTTGCTCTTCTATGTGTGCATTAAGGTGGAGTGATGACTATCTTACATGACTTCTAAGGAAAATTTGATGATTAATTTGTTGGTTAAAAAAAATCACATAGCAGTAGTGTCATTTTAAGGTTTTCAGAATTCTGGGCAAACTTATTTTTGTATGATTCTGTTTATGAATTTTTCTATGGGCCACCAGCTCATAGGAAACACCATGGAAACGTATTGTTAATTGTGATAGCTGGGCCTCAGGTTAGGCTTGTCCTAACTAGTTCTTATAACTTCAGTTAACCCATAACTTTTAATATCCATTCTTTTATGTGAACTTTACTCTGCACTTCCTGTCCTGCTTCCTCTCCTGTCTGGCTGACAACTCCGCCTTCTTCTTCCCAGAGTTCCCGCTCTGCCCGGAAGTCCCACCTATCTCTTCTGCCTAACTATTGGCCATTCGGGTTTTTATTGTACCAATCACAGCAATACATCGTCACAGCATACAAATACCCCCCACAACATGATCCCTCTTCAGAAACCAATTTAATTTAAATGTTCTGTACGACTGGCATAGCCATCTAAGATATGAAGTTTTATCAATGACAATTTAGGTTGGTACACACTGAATGAGACCCGTATGTCCGTTGCTCAGTGCCATTGATGCTGCTTGCTGGTGGCCACGCCCATCTTCTCTTTCGGACACACAGAGGTTCTTTCCCTAACCCTTCGTATTCTCTTCCTGTACGCTTCCAGCTGCTTTTGTCTGTTCTATTGTGACATGCAGTTAGAAAACACTGTCATCTATCCATGTCATGACCCTTACAGCCTAGTTGTCTGCTTGCCTGAGCAATTCTCTAGGGCTGTTTCTGAAGGCTGATCATGTCATTACACACTGACCTGCTTGAGCCTGTGAGTAACAGCTTCCAATGATTCCTTTGGAGGTTTTTTATTTTGCACCATTGATGGGATGCACTCGCAGATTTTCACCTGGTACGCAGTGCTGTGTGAACAATCATTTATGTTCTGCTCATTTCAAATCCATCACTTGAAGTTTACATTGTGAACATGGGAAGACTCATCTTCCCTCCTTGTTTCTCTTGCAGTAGTCAGGATCATAGTCTCTGTACTCCTAGAAAATAACTTCATGGAGGGATGCAGTCGGGTCCTCAATTACTCACACAGGCATGTTTTTTGGCTCCTTGCAGGGGCCAATCAGGGTCTATAAAATGTCATGGTGTAAAGTATTGTGCTAAAGCTTTCTCCACACTGAGCCAGAGACCGCATATAGGATCTCTTACTTTTCTATGGTGCAGAAGCTTCACCAAGCATGTAGCAATCTGTCAACCAAATAGAAGGCATAGGGTTACAGATCTTTATTTCATTCACGATTTTTGAAAGCAAATCGTGGAAAATGAATGACCCTTACCAGGTTGTCTTTCTTAACCTTGACGTCTCTTTCTAGAGTAGCATTACAATATTTGTGCATGCCTCAGCCAATTTTGAGGGAAGGTAAGATCAGTATTTCCTACCTTGGGCCTTGCCATTATTCTAGAAAGGGAGGGATAAATTGGGGCCGTGGGACAGGAATGGAAGGATGTACGCTTCCATAAAACATCTGCTTCTATAGAACAGAACTTTTCACAGCTGCCCACACTTAATTTCCCATAATGGAGATGAGGATATAGGATTCATGACCCAAGACCTGGGTCCTATTTTGCTCTGTCAGCATGTTCAGGGACAGCCTCAGCCACAAAGAGTTGCTCCTTCTAAATTCGACACTCTTGGGACAACATACATCTTGCTATAGTGATGAAAGGATGTAGGGTAGGCCTGGAGGGAAGGGTAGGTCTGGCACAGAAGGGTAGGCTTGGCATGGAAGGGTGTGCCTACCGTGAAAGGTAGGCCTGGCTATTTCTGTCTTATGTGGGGCACTCCAGTGAGTATCACTCCAGGCTCCATGTTAAATTGACTGAAGCTTTGTCCCGTAGTTGAAGGATGGTCCACTTTCCTCTCCTTTCCTTTCCTTTTTCTCCCATACTCCACAGATGCTGCCCCACATTTCCATTGAGAATGACCTGCCAACACCCCACATCCTGCTTTTGTATAAACTGCAAGGCTGTACATGTGGGGGAGGAGGATGTCTTAAAGACTACCTCCTGAGGGAGTGTCAGGCTCCATGTTCTCATAGCTGCACAGCATGGGGTACTTCAACCCTCATTTCTTCCTTCTTGGTTTGTGACTCTGGCTGCTCATTTCTTGATAAAAGGAAAGATCACCTTACCTTCACATATCCCCTGAGCTACAGCATTTCATAAGTTTGTATCCCAAGAACACTGTGAGCCTTGGGTGGCAGGGCATTGTCTTTTGGTCTACCTAGAATTCAGCACAGGCCTGGGCATATAATTAGTGATTAATAGATGTTTTCTCATACATATTCTAGAAAAATCATTCAGATTTTTCTAATCTTCTGGCTGCTCTAAGGCTGGGCATACCTCCTTGCTCACAACATTCGGCGCTGTGGTAGCCACCACCCCTCCCGACAGGGATGCTGTTCCACACACCAGAGATTCCTTCTTTCTCCCCTGCTATGCTTCTGTAGGATACCTCCAGGGGAAATCCCAGGGAGTCCTCCTAAAGCCTTCATCAAGTCTGACCTCTCCTGTAGCCTCCCACTAGCGGCATTCAAATTCCTTCCTGGGGTTCAGCATCCTCCTCTGCTCTAGGTATTGTCCTCTGAGCCGTGAGTCTAATTAATCTTAATCAATTAAATAGAGAGGGCTATTTTGGCTCACAGTTTTAGGTATCATCCACCATAGTGGGGAAGTCGAGGTGTCTTGAAATAGCTAATTGTATTCATCTGTAGTCAAGAGGGAGAGACACTTTCTCCTTTTCATACAGTACAGGGTGCCAGAGCAAAGAGCAGTGCCAACCATAGTAGGGAAATCTTTGTTCTTAATATAATATAACCAAGAGAGTCTACATAGTCATGTCCAGAGGCCTGTCTCCTAGAAGGTTCTAGATCTCCCCAAATAAACAAATGAGATTAGCCACTATTGGGTAGTGGAGAAACTGCGGCCAGCCTACCCAAGCGGCAGGTGCCCAGGCCAGCCTGCATGAGTATGCTCACCAGGCACTTCCTCCCTGAGCCAAGCCTGCCTGTACCCACAGAGACTGCTGACACAGAGACACCTGACCAGATACACCAATGAGGAAAGGACACACAGCAGAGTCAGCTCCTGAGCCAATGGGACCTTGGGAGGGGGTATAAAGTCAGGTCTAACTTCCTCAATGAACGAGAGAGACTGCAGCCTGCTCTGCTACTCACTGACTTCCAGAACCTGAGTCGCTGGTGCTGCGTCTTCTCACCCCCCACCCCCAAGGGGTGTCCGAGCATGGTCACCCGCAGCATCTGGTGCCTAGACACGAGTCTGGTGGATCCTGTGCTGGCATGGGTCTCGGCCCCGCTTGAATCAGGGTGTATTCTTTTATCTATCTCCGTGGCTGAGTTTTGGGCCCTGATCCTTGCCTTTTGTTGCGAGTGCATCGCAGATGGATCCTACCTTGGTGAACTTCTGCTTTCACTATCTGCACCCTTTTGGACTCCTCTTCACGCTCGCAGCACGTTCCTGCGCCCCCTCTCCGGGGACTTGTCCGGTGAGTTGGCCCCTGTGTGTTTCATGTCCTTGGTCCTCATGAAGGTGAGCGCGGGGTCCTCCTTCTTTTCCGTCTTTTCCTTTGTGTCTGTCTGGCACCCCTGGGGCATTAGGTAGGAACATCTACTACACTGAGGTCCGACACACTTGCTGTGTGTGTTCGAGTCTGTCTTTGTCTGTTTTAGACTTTGTTCTTGTCTCCGTCTCCTGCATTAAGAGAATGGGGAACTCACTCTCCCCTTTAAGGAGCCTCAGGTGAGGGCATTAAAATCAATATTGGTCACCAGGTGCCTAACGTTAAGACTGCTCACCTGGAGGAATTTTGGGAAGAGATCGTGGTGCTGGCCCTCTGGATTTCCCCTGAAAACATGTGCGAGCCTGACCTCTGGATGTGCGTTCTGTTTCTTACCTGAAAGCATGAGGTCGACTTAGGAGTGACCCCCTTTTTCCTGTGCTTTTGATTGGGGAATATCGTCTCATTACCAATCATTCTCTTTCAGTGTTTCACACAGTGTATTTCCACACTCCAGGATCTCCTGGCATTTTGACACCCAGAAAGTGGCCCTCCTTGGGAGGTCCCTTGGGCCTGGCTAACGGAAATGCCTGAGGAATAGTGTGACAGGTGTTCCCCATACCTGGGCATGCTTCCCAGAGATGTCATCCTTCGAGGGCCTGTAGGCAGAGACTGATAAGCACCTGTGAGGCAGGCCAACCTAAGACAAGCCCTGTCCATCATGCTGGATGCTCTCTGAGGCAGGGACAAGGCCAAAGCTAGAACTTCAACTCTGTCAAGCCACATTTATAAAAAACAAAAAAAAGTGGGTATGTTGGAGAAACTCTGGCCAGCCCATGTAAACCACAGGTGCCCAGGTCAGCCCGTATGCGCATGTGCAACAGGCACTTCCTCCTGAGCCAAGCCTGCCTCTACCCCAGAGATGCTGACACAGAGACACCTGACCAGAGACACCAATGAGGAAAGGACACACAGCAGAGTCAGCTGCCTGAGCCAATGGGACCCAGGGAGGGGGTATAAAGTCAGGTCTAACTTCCTTAATAAACGAGTCTGCAGCCTGCTCTGCTACTCACTGACTTTCGGTGCCTGAGTCGTTGGTTCTGGGTCTTCTTACCGCCTCCTCCAAGGGTTACCCGCAGAAATGGGGATGCTGTCCTCACGCTTTCTTCTTTTCAGAAGTGTCTTTCCCCACATAGAGTTGTTTGTGCTGTGTTTCCCATTGTCCTAGACGCGACTTACTTATCCCTTCCTCAGGGAGACCTCATCCATCCTAGTAGGGCATCTGAGCGATGCTCTGTATTATTTTATAACTGCCTGCCTTGCTACTAACTACAGTTAAGAATTGCCTTTGCGTTTATCTGACACACTTTTGAATGCAGAATTCGCTGGCGCAGGGGCACGGCCATGTTTTACGCTGCATCCCTCCTGCGCAGGCTAGATCTTGATATAGAGAAGCACTCACAGTTGTTGCTGACTGGACTGTGATTCCAAAGTTTCCTTCGACTGACAATCATGCTTGCCAGTCTGTTACCTACATATAATTTGTTTAAATGCTCAGGTATTGGATTTCCTGTTTTCTAATTGTTTAGCTTTCAGTTTTATATTCCTTTTTTTGTTTATTTAAATGAGAATCAAGGTTGCTTCACATGTCAATCCCAGCTCCCTCTCCCTCCAGCTCCCTCTCCCTCCCCTCCTCCCCCACTCCCACCTCCAACCCTCCCCCCCCCCCAGTCCCCACTCTGATCCCCAGGGAGGGTGAGGCCATCCTTGGCGATCTCCAAAGTCTCTCATATCATCATCTCCTTTAAGATCTCTTTCCCTTAATAAAAAACCCCTCCATGTGAACTCTGTCACCTGGGGTCTTTCTCTCTCACACTGCTTTTTAAAAAATATTACAACACCTTCCATTTGTGTCTGCCTCATGACCTTGGGAATCTCTCAACTTGTGTTCTTTGAACACCTGTCTAAACATTCAATATCAGCTATACCCATGCCCCATGTGTCTAGGCTGAGAGAGCATCCCTCCATGTGGAATGGGTTCCCAAAGTTCATTCGTATGCCAGGGATAAATACTGATCTACTACCCAAGGCCCCATAGATTGCCGAGGCCTCCTCACTAACACCCAAATTTAGGGGGAGGTCTGGATCAGTCCCATGCTAGCCTCTCAGCCATCAGTCTGGGGTCCAAGAGCTCCCCCTTGTTCAAGTCAGCTGTTTCTGTGGGTTTCACCAGCCCGGTCTTGACCCCTCTGCTCATCACTCCTCCCTCTCTGCAACTGGGTTCCAGGAGTTCAGTTCAGTGTTTAGTTGTGGGTGTCTGCCTCTGCTTCCACTAGCTACTGGATGAAGGCTCTAGGATGGCATATAAGGTAGTCATCAATCTCATAATTAGGGAAGGGCATTTAAGGTAGCCTCACCACTATTGCTTAGTTTGCCAGGTGGTGTCATCTCTGCTAACTATGTCTTATGCTCAGCGCCTGTGGGATTTATGATCCCACATAGGAGGAAGATGATGTGGGTGAGCTGATGTCTCACGGTAGTCTTGCTTTACATAAGTTGGGGATGCTCACCAACTTTCATATCCTTGCTGGCCTTTGAGGTCATCGATATTTTACACCTGTTGATCAACACACACCCTTTCCACTGTCTTATTGATGGCTACTTATCCCACATTCCTCAGATGTGTGGCTATGTTAGCACCTTCATATAAGCACAGACGTACAGTCTTCATCCTATGACTGGTCTTCTCACCTAGAGTACCCTAGAGTCATAAGTGTTGTCATAGTAGAAGAATTTCTGTCTCTCTTCCTGGTTGAATAATAATCCATTGTATGGCTGCATCAAAGTTACCCATTCGTATGAGAATGAACATTGGCCACACTTTATCAATGTTTCTCTTACTCCCAGGATGAGATTCTGAACTATTTATCTAAATAGATGAGAAAATTGGGACACATCTAAGGGAGGCTGTTCAGAGTTCTTGCCCTCCACAGTCCCTTCACGTTACTTTTGGCCTCAGTTGTTTTGGTCCTGATGTAGCTCTTTTTCTCAAACCCATCAGCTGTCCACCGGGAATTAGAGAGATGTTGGGAATGGGGAGTCAGAGCACTATTGAGAAGATGCATGGCCCGTCAGTGTGAATTGTGAAAGGATTTGATGGGCAATGGAAGTCCCTGTTGCTTTATTTTAGCTGTTTCAAGGATCCCCACCCGATCCTTGGTCTCCCTGTGTTGTGACTGCATGACATTCCAGCGTCACATTCCTGTTTGACGTAAGCTAGTTCAAATTGCAGCCAATTGTGAAGGAAAGTGTTGTTAATATGTTGTGCCTCGGCTGTAGTCTCTCAGAATATGTATACCTCTCAGCAGCATTGAATGAATTTATCACAAACCTTCTGTTTAGTGATCTGTACTGGCCTGTCCTTGGGGTTCTGACAGGACACGCCCTCAGGTGCAGCCACTAAGAGCACCACCTGTGCATACTCACTAAGTTCCCTTTTAAAAGGGCCCTGACCACCTCTCTCTCTCTCTCTTTGTGTGTCTCTCTCTCTGTCTGTCTCTCTCTCTCTGTCTCTCTATCTCTCTCTCTCTCCCTCTCCCACTGCTCCTGTCCCTGGAGGTGGTGTCCCCCTCTTTCCCTCCTTTAAGATCTCTTTCCCTTAATAAAAAACCCCTCCATGTGAACTCTGTCACCTGGGGTCTTTCTCTCTCACACTGCTTTTTAAAAAATATTACAACACCTTCCATTTGTGTCTGCCTCATGACCTTGGGAATCTCTCAACTTGTGTTCTTTGAACACCTGTCTAAACATTCAATATCAGCTATAATGATGTCAGTAGAAACTTATTCATTGTGTGGAGCGAAAGACTCTCAAGGGTGCCAGACAGTACTCGTGGGAGACTGGTCCTCCATAATGCCAGCACAGCTATAAATACTTTAGCCCTTACTAAATTCAGCATCTTTTTTGAGACCCTGAAAAGAATCTTTCTGTAGTCCAAGTTTGGGCTCTATATATGGTCAAGAACATATAGAACACATCCTGGATAGGGATCTCTGCTTCATTTGCTTTCATCTTGGATGCAAATTTCTCAGCATATAAATTCCAGAATAAACACCAATTGGTATCATGCTAATGTTCGTACATTAGGGCTATTGTGTGGCAACAGTCAGCCTAGTTTTCATATTGAAGAATGCATTGATTTGTTTCTTCTTGGCAGGTACGATTTCATGCCATATATCACTATTCATATTTGTTCAGGTAAACAGTAAGACAGAGAGGACGTGAACAAACTGGAGGAGAACGTGTTTAGTCGTTCAAGTGGCTCTGTAATTACCGTATCTTCTGAAACTGCATCCGCAAGCAGAGGCACGCAGAATGCCCGCTCTGAAACGCGAAGCCTTGCATTTGCAGATATTCGTAGAACCCCACACTGAATATTACTCTAGTGTCAGCGTACTGTCCTTGGCTGTACACTGTATCCATTTCATCTTTTTCTGTGCTCTCTCACCCAGCCTATTACAATTCGGTTCGTATTTGAAGTACTACCCAGTATTTTGTTATTAACTTTTTTAAGGCTGTGATCCAGGAGGAGGCATTGCCACAAACCTCATGCTCAGTGCAATTAAAAAAGCATGAGTCCTCTCTCTCTCTCTCTCTCTCTCTCTCTCTCTCTCTCTCTCTCTCTCTCTCTCTCTCTCTCTCTCTCTCTCTCTCTCTCTCTCTCTCTCTCTCTCTCTCTCTCTCTCTCTCTCTCTCTCTCTCTCTCTCTCTCTCTCTCTCTCTCTCTCTCTCTCTCTCTCTCTCTCTCTCTCTCTCTCTCTCTCTCTCTCTCTCTCTCTCTCTCTCTCTCTCTCTCTCTCTCTCTCTCTCTCTCTCTCTCTCTCTCTCTCTCTCTCTCTCTCTCTCTCTCTCTCTCTCTCTCTCTCTGTGTGTGTGTGTAGTAGGAAATCCAGTGTGTGCCAGCAGGTGGCAGCAGACATAAATGATCT